CCCACCCCGCACCCCCAGGCCTGCGGCCGTTCGGGAACCGCTCCTCCGTGGCCCGGCGCCCCCGGCCTGACCCTCCGGCGGGAAGCTCGCGCCCTCAGCCAGCGCCGCCCGCTCGCCGGCCGCCGCGTACCCAGGTCGCGATGGGGCGCCAGGCCGCTCTTCTCCCGGATCTTCTCCTCACAGAGCACCAGCCGCAGTCCAGCGGGCGCCATGCTTTCAAACTACACGCCGCTGCGCCCGCGCCTGCGCAGTGAGGCCGCCGAGGGCCGCGCGGGGCGGGGCCCTTTAGTGGGCGGGGTCGTGGGCGGAGACTATGGCTGAAAGGGCGGGGCGAAGGACCTATAGGGGCGGGGATGTGGCCGGGGCTCCGGGGTGGGCGGGGCCACGGGCCACCTTGGCGGGGTTAGGAACCCGCCCCAGGGTCTGATCTGCTCACGCTGCCCCTGGAGGCCGCCTCCCGGGCGCTGTGCCCTCCCCGGGAAAGACCGCGTGCCCGTGGGACCCTGTCCCACCTGGGACCCGTTCCACGTGGGGACCCGTCCCACCTGGAGACCCGTTCCACGTGGGGACCCGTCCCACCTGGAGACCCGTTCCACGTGGGGACCCGTCCCACCTGGAGACTCCGCGGGCCCCAGACTTCCCTGTGTCTGGGCGGCGCCGAGTGACCCAGGTTCTTCCCGGAACGCCGCACGTGGGGTCGCAATTCTTCCCCCCACCCCGCAGTTACTCGGCGGCGGCCTGTCCTCCGTCCCCATCCTCAACTTCCCAGCGATCTCTGAGGAGCGATCTTGCGGGTCACCCACTGATCAAAAGGTTCACTGCGTGTCTGTCCCTCTGGGCCCTTTATGGGCGTCATGAAGAGCCCCTGAGATCTACAGTCTAGGGAAGACCCCATTCCGGGTCTGAATCCGCCCCCCCCCAGCCGGAGCCCGCCACCCCATCTTCTGGTGTCTGCGGGTGCCCCTGCTACCCCTCACCCCAGGAGGGTTGGTAACGTCCTGGCATATCACAGACTGCGTGGGGGCAACGTAGCGGGGTGTACGCAGGCCGGTGGGGTGCGGGGTGGGTCGTGCATGGGGCGTGCCCATCTCTCCTGAACAGAGCAGAGCTTCAAACCTGGCGCACAGGCCTCCTTGGCCCCTGTGCCCAGGGTGTTACTGAGGCTGGAGAAGACTCAGCAAGGCAGTCCTGTAACCATTGCGTCCAGACACTCCTAGGAGATTGGAGAGATCCGGCACATCCCAGGCCAGCTTGTGGTCACCACACCAGGTGTCCCCCGAGTGGAACTCTGTGCAGCCTGGAGACTTAGAAATAGTGAACAACTATCCTGGCTTTTCAGAAGCAAACAAAGGCAGACAAAGGGCTTCTGTCAGCCGCCACCCAAGACGAGTAGCTTGCCCGCACAGCCCACGCTCCAAGCACATGCTGATTCTTCCTGCCGCAGTCACGTCAGGTCAGGTGGCCCAGGCTAGGGACACAGTGTGGAGAGTGGACCTCTGCACATGTCCTGTGGGACAGCAGCACACAGACAGCACCAGCATCTCTATTTTAATGGAAGTGCCAATAAAAACTTTGAAAACCATGTTTTCTGTTACTGAAGTATCACACATTCATTGTAGAAAAGGCAGAAAATTCAGAAGAAAACAGATTAAATATTCCACCATGCAGAGATAACCAATGTTGACACTTTCACTTGTCTCCTTCAGGTATGTCTTCCAAGCCTGTGTCTAGTTTACAATAATGAGATTACGCTGATCATTCTCATATATACTTTTCCTTTTTTGCTTTTTTTCAACATGATGTTACTAAATAGCCTTCAACATCTTTTTTGAGGGGAGGGGGGAATTGGGGGAGAGAAACAGTGTTGGGGAATTGGGGAGGGGAACGAGCCAAGTTGTTGTTCTTTAATCTTAGTTGTGGAGGGTGCCAGTCACCATCTGGTTGCCCGTCGGCAGCTCGCTGCCTCTAAGCTCAAGGTGCTGTGTTACAATCTTAGTTGCGGATGGGCGTAGCCACCATCCCATGCGGGAGTCAAACCGGCAGCCTTGTTGTTAAGAGCGCATGCTCTATCCACTGAGCCATCCTGCCACCTGTTGGCAGCTCAATGGCAGCTCAGTTAGGGTGCAGCTCACTGGCCCATGTGGGAATTGAACCGGCAGCCCTGTTGCTCAGAGCTTGTGCTCTTAAGCAAGCTCTTAACCAACTGAGCCACTCGGCCGGCCCCTCAACATCGTTTTTAATGGTCACATTAGATCATGAAGTAAATTCAGATTTATTTAACCCATATTCTGTTGCTGACCACATTTCCACTTTTTCTGGTGACAAAGCTTCGGGGGCGTTGTTTTGAAGTTCCTTCTGAGATGCTTTGGAGCGAGCTGGGAGCATAAACAGGGTGGTCCCACCTTCCCCAGGTCTCAGAGCCAGAGTGGCTGAGGGCACACATGTGTGCCCCTGACACGCGTGTTAGCTGTTAGGAGCTGTCATCTCTGCTTCCTGTGAGAAAAGCCAGCACTGTGTTTTTTCACCGATAAGGAAACAGGCGCCAGTTGGGCGCAATTTGTGGGCACGATTTGACTGAAAATCAGTGTCAGATTGGGGCAGCCTCGCCTGTGCTAGTGCAACAGGCCAGTGAAACACAGGAAGCTCCCGTGAGTCTGAAGATGAGCCCACACACCCACATCTCCTCTAAGTCCCCTGACAACTCACACACATGCACACTCACACACACACACACACACCAATGCACAGGGAGGCAGCTCAGTCATACACCCAGATGCACACTCACACACACTCACACAAACCTCTAAGGCCAGCACACAGCCAGAGCACCAACCCCGTCAGCCTCGCCCTGGCCAAATGGCAGGAACATGCCCTTGGTCACACATGGGGCACCATTGAGCTGAGTGCTCTGGGGCTCAGCCCTCTGTGGATGAAGTAGACGCTGCATAGATCACCTGAGGGACTTCTCTGCTGCGGTCGGCGCTGCTCCCGTCTTTCTTTAGGAGCGGCGTTTGGCGGGAGGGGACACCATCAGCCCTCCGAGCCGGCCTTCCCCGTGGGGAGCATCTGGTCAGGTCAGCTTTGCGGAGGCCACGTTTCCTCCTTATGCTCATTCATTTGTAAACATTTCCCTCGTGCGTTTCTAACAGTGAGGATCCACATCAATGTCTGTGATCGTCAATATGTCATTTTGCCAACCACCTTCTTGCCAAGGAGTGAAACGCAATGGGGCGCAAGGCCCTCTGCGCGCCTGCTTTAGGGTCAACGCTCTGGAGGCTGGGCTGGGCTATGTTAACATCTTCACATGTAACTAGTCGCCTTCACATGGAGCTTGGGTCCTGCTTCTTGTGCTTTGTCCTGATCAATAGGGCGCCACATGTGGTTTGGTCAGCTGGTGGGACAGGCTGTGGGGCGGTGCTGCGGCCAGGAGGGAGCCCAGCCATGTGGACTCCTGGGTCTTCGCTCTGCGTTGCAGCTCTGGCTGCACATGATTTGTGCCTCATCCCAGGAAGGTGAGATCTCAGAAGGAATGGTGTGAGGACCCCACCGGCAGGACCCACAGCTCTGGTGGCTTCCCCTGCAAGTCAGGGGTCCTGGTCCCATCTCAGGACACCCCTGAGATGGGAAAGTCACACACGCAGCCTGGAGACTTACCCTCATGAGTCCCCAGTACAATGAGTGTCAGGACACAACGGCGTCTGTGTGAAAGGGGAACAGAGCAGGAAGGGACAGGTGGGCCGCTCTGGGGGCTGCTTCACCTGCGAGTGTTTGTAATCGCTTTTATCTAGTTGAGGCATCAGTTAAGATGCAAGTAGAGCACAGCTGGGGAAGGCGACACAGGGGCACACAAACAGAGCCCCAAGGCCCCCCAGGGAGAGCTCAGCCTGGCCCACCAGCAACCCAACCTCTAAGTTCCCATGAGGCCACAGGATGTTTTCCTTCCTTCTGGGTCAGCGGGGGACCCCTGCCTGCACACACACACACACACACACACACACACACACACACACACACACACGGAGCCCGGAAGAGCCCGCCTGCAAGCGCTGAGAAAACAGGGTCCTGCGTCCCCTCACGTCTCAAGGCAGCGGGGAAGGACTGGAAGGCCCCCACCCTGTGCCTGCTCAGCCTCCTGTCCACACCCCCAGGGCACATGCCAGGACACTGGGCCACAGGACCCACTGTGGGGCCCGGCGGGTGCACCTGAAGAGGCAGCCTCACCACACCGCGGAGCCGCAGGCCCTCCGCAGGGCAGATTCGGCCTGACTGGGCCTGGTGTTGTCTCCACCAGCAGCCACGAAGGCCTTGTGGGAGGAGGCCTCCCCCTCTCATGTCCACTTTATAGGAGCGCGATGGGGCTCAGAGGGTCCACATCCAGTTCTTCCTCCAGATTCAGCTCTTCACTGATGGAGACCACCTCCCAAAGAGCTACATGCCTGCAGTGTGACCCTGAGGATACCTGAAACAGGGGGGCGGGGTGGGTCACCTCGCCCACAGTGGCCTGGCCACCAGCCAGTATGCTCTCCACTGGCATCTGAGGCTCCTGGATGTGTCCACTTTGCTGAGGTCCCCCCCCCACCCTGAGCAGACAGACTTGCCTCTTGTGGGTTATGTGCCCTTTCAGTACTCATTTAACCTTTAATAACCATTTTCGGAACTCAGTCCTTATAAACGACTTTTTTCAAAGGCCCCTTTGCAATCTCAAGGAGCAGGAAGCAATATCCTTTTAAAAACCAATTAGCCACTCATTTTTGCTCATTAAATAAATACTTTTACTTTGGACCCAATTGATTTTTCAGATACACGGAACAATGGGCTGAGTCACCTGTTTGCAGATCTACAGCCCCTTTCCTCCCCCAGTCTTTGAAGTCCTTGTGAGGCAGCCACACCTGCACATGGTGGGGCGCAGTCCTATCCCACAGGCACACACCTGAATTCTCACCAACTGCACGGATGTTTAGAAACTGGCTTTTAATCTGCTAACATATCCCTCTTCTTGGAACCCTGTGCCAGGAGCGTCTGGCCCAGTGCTCCTCACGCAACACCGCTCTGCCAGCACCCTTCTCCCCAGCAGTGTCAACAGGCACCTCCATCCAGCCTTGTTCATGGAGCCCCTCTGGCCTTGTTTCCTGACGTCTCTTTCTCTGTTTCATGGCTGCCTGCACCGATGCCAGGCAGGTGATCGAGGCCAAAGCTTTTTACTTCTGTGGAAGGGGCCGCATTCAT